AAATAGTGCCACCCCAATAAGCAGAATACATAGTGCTACTCAAGGCTACTCCACAGCCACCTCTACCTCCCAACTTGCTTTTCAAATCTTTACCTTGACAGATGCTACCTCTCTCCTTCTACTTTAAAAAACAAACAAACAAACAAACAAACAAACTATGCATTATTGGTTTCAAGATGAGTGATCCAATCATTTCTATGGCAACCTTGCCCCTCAATGCCTCTTGGAGAAAAGAGTTCTTTTCCAGATGAGGACTGCAGGCAGGACGGTCCAGAAAGTGCTGTATTTCAGTGACTCTGGCACAAAAGAAGCAAATGCCATTGCAAAACTCAAATTAAATAGCAAGTGAACTGTGGGCTGAGCTTGTAGGAGAGACGTCAGGAGAATGCCAGCTGCTTTTCTGCAATGCCAAGTAATATTTAAAATTAAACATTATGTGCTGAAGCAGCAAAAGCCTTCTATGGCTTGCTGGTTGGCAGCAGCTGGAGAAACAAAGGGCAGTCCTGTGGGCCACAACAGGGACACAATCTGCCACTCCTTCCAACCTGCTTGCTGAGCCATAGGATTCACGTGACATGTGCTCCTTGTAGGCCATTCAAATTCCAGATTCTGTCTTTATCTCCCTTATCCATCACAGTGCTGTGTGGAGTGATTATTTTCTCCACTTGTATGACATGGACTTTCTGGGGCTGCTTAATAGGTCTGTGCAGCAATTCAAAATTAAAGGCAAAAAGGAGTGTTGGAAGTGTGCAAGGTGCTTATGTGTAGCATCTGTCTGCAACTCCTAAAAGTCACTCTAACAGAATCCCAAGGAAAGAGAGGGGTTACACTACACTCTTCCACACTCCAAAGTACCTCCTTGCCTTCCATCCCAAAGGGCTGCTCACTCCTACTGCTGAAGACATGAAATTGCAATCTACTTATCTAAGAATACACAGAACCTGTAGATAGATATATGTGGATGAACGCTTTTGACCTGCTGTATTTCTTCAATTTAAAGACAAGGGAGAGACATGGGCCAGAAAACATTCCAGGATCAAACCTTTTCTGCAAAAAGTTTTCCCACTTCAAGGATGTTTTGGTAGTTTTAAAGTTGTAGTTCATTTTTCAGGAGAACAATCTAAAAATTGAGAACCTGAAAGATGTTGCAATTGCCTATTAATTTCTTTAAATGTACTGTTCAAACTTCATAAAGTAGTATAGATTTAACTTTATTCATATCAGATAATGCAGCCCAGATACTTTTGCAAACTACAGATAGTGAGATAAATAGGCTAACTGGAATAGTCATTTGCTTGGAAATTTTTCCAGAAAAAGTTTCCAATTCAATTTTTTCCAGAAAACTCACATGTCTGCATAAAGGCACCCTGATTCAGCACCAGGTGGATCCATTTCACAGTGCACATTTAACCTCTTTTGTCCTTGATACTGACTTTGATCATATACCGCCCCCACCCCTGAAAAATACCTGCTCATGAATATGCCACCATTGCTCTTATACATGCCCTGCAATTTCCTGGCAGCTTCCAGCAGGTAGTCAAATACTCAACCCATCCTGCCATGTGGTTCTTTTCCTCTGGTGCACATCTGTGTGGTAAAGAAAGTGCTTGCCTGGGCTGTCTCCAGTCTTTTGCAACTCCATTTGAGAGACCAAACTTTTGCTATGTCCCTGCCTCTACAAAAAGATTTGGTGAGATTTATACAGGCTGTGCTAAATCCTCTGTTAGCAACTATTGCTAATCCAGTGGAGAATAGTGTGGCAGAACTCGGTGGCTTCTGTGTAGGGGATATTCATCTCATCTAGGGATGCTAATCATGCTTAATACTTTGAGAAATTTTAAAAACAATGCTCAGTATTTCACAATGAAAGGAGTGCCTCATTACTCAGTTTTATTTTATTCTAAATCTTGAAAGGAGCAATTCAAAACTTTTACAGGAAGAAGCAAAAAGTCACTGAAAGTCTTCTTGGAGGACACAACTAAACCATGCCTTTCTCCGCATGGACCTTCTTTAATAACCTTTTGCTTTTGGTAAACACTTTTTCAAGAAGATGTTTGCTTTATAAGAAATGTACTCTTTTATCAACTGCATCTGCCTGTTTTTACTATATTCACTTTTTCTTCTGAAATTACCATGGTATTTTATTAATTGTTGGCTGCACTGAATGATACAAAAGTATCAGAAGGCCAAGGCATGTATTTTTATATAAAAAATATATAATGTGGCAAAGAAATCCCACCGTCAGAGGCTTTGCACTGCAGTGACAGTAAACTCTATCACCATCATTGCTTGTCCATTTCTGTACCAATGGGGGCAGGGAGGGCTAGAGTGGACTAATTGTTCAAAAGAATTGGTAAGTATATACTTAATCTGCTGCTGACACTAATGGAACTTCAAAGCGTTCACTATTATCCATAACCGAGGCCACATATTATCTTCCTTTTGAGTAGTATTAATATTTTTGACCTTAGTGATGTTCAGGCAACCATCACTGGCAGTTTATTATTAACATTATTATTGATTGTTTAAATTTTATTGCATATTAAATGTTGTTTGCCATCTAGAGTCTGTACAAATTGGGGCAGCCTCTAAATACTGTTAAATAATAAACATATAAATAATACAAATTTAGTGAGGCCCCAACTATCAGCTGAACAGAGTAAGATTTACAGAATACAAGAAGACTTACTTCTCAGACATGCTTGCATTAGATTACATTATTAGTGAGGTTTAACAGTGCATGTACAATGTTAAGAGTTTAGAAGTAATAGAAACTACTGAAAATACTTTACCATCAGGTATCATGTGGAAGTTCTAAGATGTTATAGATGTAAACATCTGGGTCATGCAATGCTTCAGATTCAATTAGGAAAGCTTTGGTAAGCATGAGAGTGTGAACATAGTATCTCTTTGTAACTCGTAAAAGCAGCCACATCTGTTTCCAGATGCGTTTCCAAAAAACAGATACAGCTGCTTTAATGAATCACAGAGAGGGCTGCATTCATGCTCTCACCCATTCCAAAGCACCTGTTCCCAATCATTTCTGATACATATAACTGAATATTTATATTCTGATCCAGTGATTTGCTACTACTAATGGCATGTGCCTATTCCATTCAGAATCATATTCCCATGCTGTGGGTAGCATTTATATCTTAATTAGGCTGAAGGAAATAGCTTAAAGGAGGGCTTCTAATATAAATTAGAAGCCATCATTGGTAACCAATGTTAAAAATTATCAAATAGGTGAGCATTTTTCAACCTGGTGTCTTCCAGATACATTGGGACTACATCCCAGAATTCCCAGCTTACATAGCACTTACAGGTAATGCAACACACCTCTGTCACATACCATGAAGACCTGCCAGCAGTAGATAATACTGACTTATATCAACACATAATCCATTCTGATATAAACATTTGTCTATATTACTCTGGATTAAAGAGTTAGTTTTGCAACTATAAATGTCATCATTATAATAAGACAGTGTTTAAGAATTTTCATATGCTATCTGAAAGTATATCAGTTCCAGTCTGATCTTATGGAACTGTTTTAGATACAGAGACACCAAAGATTTATGCCACTGTTGGTAAAAATAATATGTATAAACCAGTAATGCTCAACATTATTATTCTTGTTCAATGCAGCATCAGTGCACCCAAGAGACCAGATGAATTTGTTCCCTAGTAAAACTAGGTAATGTGTGGTATTTCAAATGGCACTAAACTATAACTCCCAGCATCTCTTTCTGTTTGCCATGTTTCCTTGGGCTATTGGGAGATATAGTTCAGCAACATCTGAAGTGCCACATGCTGCCTATCCCTGATTTATAGCAACTTAAATTTGTTCTTCATAATAAAACTCTCTGACATTATCTCCCCTAACATTTCTATGTTCTCCCATGCAGGTATTTCTGTTTCTACCTCCACAGTGATCAAGGTACTTAACACAGTAAAAGTTTGTGTACTTGCTTTCCTTACTTGAGCCCACCAGTGGGGACAGTATGGCATTTCTTGTGCTCCAGTAATTGCTCAGGAGTCTTCATGAACTTGTGGCACACATCACATTCAAACATCCGTGTAATCAGGTGGATTTGCAAATGGCGCTCAAACATGGTTTTTGTTTTGCAGACAAAGTTACAGAAAACACATTCAAAACCTGCAGAAGGAAATTACAGACACTATTACCTAAGTCACGCACGACAGCCTTGAGAAAGTGGAGGGAGTCACTTTGCATTCCTTCGCCAACTTTTTACCTTTCTCTGATTTTTCTTCCGCATTTAATAGAGTCTGACTACCAGGCACTACGGAAATAACTAGCAGGTTATTTGATCCCTTGGGTTTGGGGCTGATATCTGCATCTTCTTTACTATTGGCAGAATCACTAAGTGCTGACAAGGAAGAAGAAGAAGGACTGGTTGAGTCACTGGGTGTCTTTCTTTCTTCACCTACAAAGAAATAAAAGAAATTGATGCTAAACATTAACTTGCTTATTGAAACCAGCATGCAATCAATTCAGCTCAGAGATCCATACATGGAAGCACCCTTCCTTATGCATCCCTACCCACACTTGCTGGTCTAAGCTGATTGGGCTAGATGAGACCTCCTCTGAAGTTTCCAGGAATTAAGCTAAACAAATTTAAGAATTCTGGGTACTGGTGAGTGCAATTACAAATTCAGAATTTTAGTAGATGTGTTGGTGCTCAGCAGAGTTTGAGAACAACTATGATCTCAGTGTCAAGAACTCTCCTCTCACTCTGCTTCTCAGCTATATTTCCTTCTAGCTGAGATTAAGCGCTTCAAGCTATTACTTCTGTCTCTCTTAATAAATTGAATGGCTCAATTTATCTTTCCAGACCTTCCCCCACCCTCTGCGAAAGGTCAGGTGATTTAAATACAAAACCAAACAGATTACGGATGGGTAGTGGACATTGGCAGGATGCTAGTTTATTTATGTCCTCTTACTGACCAGATGGAGAGTTGAAGAGCAAGTGTTCTAAAGAAGTCATTTGCATTTTGAGGAGATAAAAAATTAATAAGTTGACTAAGTTAAATGGTCCTATTTAACAGCAAGCTTTATGTTACATGGCTACTGTTGGGTTAAGTTTAATTGGACCTGCAGTTTTGTACCAGCAAGCTTTAACAAAACCTTATTTTATAGTTAATGTAAGGCAATGAAGATGAGTCTGATTTGGGAGGGAGGGTTGCCTAGCTACTCTGAGAATGTAGCCTGACCCAGCAAGATGACCTTATCATCTATCTAAAACTGAGCTTTGAACTACTTATTGCATGCATAATACTGATATAATTTTTATGCTTATTTTAGGAATGTGGCATTTCTTGTACCATAGACTCTTGTTAGATTTTAATGAAGTCTTATAATTTCTCTTGTTAGCAGTGTTGTTTTGGAACTGTCTATGTAAAAGCCAGCCATGATAAGGAAGTTAAATTTCTAACAGGTAAAATCAGAAGCACAGGACTTCCCCCAAGACAGAAACTGGCAAAGTGTGCTTTGGAGTTGCCTGGAGTCATTTCAGCCAGCTAGATGGGCTGATTGAGTATATCACTGGAGGAAATTACTGGCAGGGAGTTTTGACCTTTTTAAAGATCATTTTCTTTCTGAAATTACCGTATTTATTGGTGTATAACATGCACAGGCATATAATGCACCTTAATTTTAAGAAGGAAGTTTGAGTAAAAAAACTTAAATTTAAAATAAATGACT